TTGATAAAGGAATTGGGTTTCCTCATGAGTCATGGGACATATATAAGGGATGATTGATAAATCCATTATATGTTGTCTAGAGCATTTGGTGTGTTCATTTATTTGATGTTGCTTCTGTAGTCTGTTTAGCAGACTTAAACGACATGCCTGCTTGTTGTGCTCGAGCTTAACCACCAAGCTTATGTATTGCGTATCAACAAAACCATATTCAGTTACTTCTTGTTTACCAACTTTTGCCCATAGGAAGACCAAATTCTGTTCAGCTCTTCTTTAAATTGGTATCTCCCAGAGAAGATCCTGTCTTAGTACTTAAATGCATGGAGCCAAATTTCAATATGAACAAATCTGTCACTTCTTGAATATTCTCAATAGCTGCATTTTGATAGAATACTCAGGATTTAAATAATGTGCAGCTGCATGTAATGGTTGATGCAACTGGCATTCCCATCTTTTATAAGTGATCGTAAAGACATCTTTATACTTTGCACCATTCCCATTGAGTATCTTATTCAATGGCTTCGTTAGCTTTATCGGTAGCATCATAAAAATATAGCCCACAGCAGATTTCTTCTCATTGTGAACCAATCGCAACACCTTTTCCATTATAATGTGATTTCAGTACGAAGGCATCAGTCTGGTGTGAGTTGGGCTAGATAATTTTGAGTTCTTCTCTCTTTTGGTTAGCAACATTCTGCATGGGGATGAAACCCTGTGGGCAAGCAGATTGGACGCCGCAAAACCCACACCACTGAAATACCTCTCACCTAACCACAATATATAAAAAAGAAATTAAAAACTTTTAATGAAGATGAGATCCTCAAAACTTGGAATTCTGAATCCAGCAGAGAACTTTGATGAACTTTTACAGATTTGATGGGATGCATCATGCTTGCTATTCCTGACCATTGAAATTTTTATTTGGAGGCAACAGAATATTCACTTTTCACTATGTTGCACTTCCGTATTTTTTCTCCTCCATATTGCCCCTATTCAAGGATACATATCAAAATTTGAACAATTCTCCAAATTTGGAAGGATGGAGTCATTGGTAAGAGCTTTTGCTTGTTAGTGTATATGGCTCTGACTGGCACAGAAAGCAATGGTACAGACATTGTTATTCAAACTGAGTTTTCTGAATATACATGGATAGATTGATGACTGATGACAATCGTCATAGTTATTTGAACAGAATTTAGTGCAGTTCATTGATCGGACCAAAAGATTAATTAAGCTTTCCACTTTGTGTTAGCATATTTTCCGTCTTTCTATTATCAAAACTTGTGGAACCTAATTCCAATTTGCTTTTTGTTTATCATTCTAATTATAAAAATTTGTCTCCTGTCCTTCATATACCAACATAGTTTGGGCAATTGTTGTGCTAGTCCTAGCAGTTTACTTCCATTCTAAAAAATTGATGTACTCTTGTCTCATTTTGATCTTTTGTGTTTTTCGTGTTCACGGGTAAATCTTAGCACAATCACCTCCATTTCTGGTTGTGGTTGAGAAACAGTGAAGTCTTTTTTATCTCTCTTTTTTATGCAGTCCTTGCTTCTTGAATCTTCTTTTGATTTTCCTAGTCACAAAGTGCATACATTCTAGTCATATCACTTGCTAATGATAGACCACCCTAGTGCAGATGTGCAAGTTCTTTCTACAGCAGCGATGTCGATTTGGTAGTAGTTGCCGCTTATCACACGGTATGTTGGAATGAATAGATCTGGACAGAGATCTTAAAATTGGTTTGACATTCACAGATTTCTTGTGTCTATCATTAGTGGAGAAAATCAGGCTTTTGCTTCCAATTTGATCCTCTAGTCAAATTAAAAATGTATATCCATTTTTTTAAGTAAAAGTAATTTGACTATGTAACATAAAGATCTTTCTCTTGAATGGAGAAATACTGGTCAAGTTTTCTCTGTTAGTGCAAGTCTTGTGATATGCTACGGTCAAATGATCTACATTTTAATGAAACAGGTAGCAATCTTTAAGCACTATTGATTGTAATTTGCTAACAGTTCTTTGCTGCGCTATTAGATGGATGATTATAACATCGAGTTCAATTTACTGCTGTTGCATAGATCAGTGTGTGATCATGTTTGCTGCTTGGCAGTTTGCTGAGCCTCTTAAAACTAAGCTGATGTATAATTATTGATGTTTCAGGTATCAACATTCCAATATCCTCATTAAAGAAGTATATCCCTATGAAATGGGATCCATCACTTGCGGGTTCCAGTATCTGGGCTCTCTCAGATAGCAAAGTTGGCCTTTGGAAAGAAGCTGAACTTGAGTCTTGGGATGAAAAGCTTAATTTGGGTCACGTTGTTTTCCGTGATGATGGAAGTTCTGCTATGCTTGGAGCTGAAAATATTGAACTGTCCGAACTTGCTGTGGCTAGTGATGAAGAAGAGAGTTACTCAGGTTCCGAAGAATCTGATTCTAGTGACTATGAAGATGATAGTTCACAAGGGTTAGGATTTGTTGAAAGCACAGCCCTGCAGCGTGGGGTCCAGACAGAAACGACACTGTTTACGAAGTGGGAGAATCACACACGCGGCATAGCTTCCAGGATGATGGCAAACATGGGGTACCGTGAAGGAATGGGTTTAGGCGCATCTGGACAGGGAATGGTGGATCCTATTCCCGTGAAAGTTCTCCCACGAAAACAATCTCTTGACCATGCTGTTGGAAACCAGAAAGCTGAGGATGAAGACAAGGGTAAGAAAAGAAGTAGGGGCGGTAAGAGGAAACGCGAGAAGAAATTTGCAGCAGCAGCTCGTGCTGCAAAAGAAGAAGAGGAATCAAGACCAGATGTGTTTACTCTTATCAATAATCAGCTTGCGGTGCATGGAGAAACCACTAATAATGGCGCAGTAAAGAGGCAGCAAAGTAAGACAAATAGGGAAGAGAAGAAAGAAGATAGGAGGGCTCTGGTTGCATATGATGATGAGATAAAAGAGTTGAGGATACGAGCTCAGAAACTGGAAGAAATGATGCAGCGGAACAGGAATGAGAAACTGGTTTATGAAGCTGCTATGAGGAAGCTAAATGAAACTCGAAAAGCTATAGCCAGTGCTGAAGCTGCTCATGCTTCTGCATCTAATGCAGTTCATAGCAAGGAAAAAGAAAAGAGATGGCTGAAATTTTAGAGTAAAGCTCAAAACATATCTTGTATAACCTGAATGATTTCAAGGTCTTTCTATTTAGTATATGATGGTTCCGATGAATCATAACTCTTTTAATGGTATTTCTTCTCTTTTTATTTATAAGCCCCTTTTCATATGAGTTCAGTTTACTACTTCGATTATTCTTTAACATGCATATGTTAAGATTTTGATCCCCTGCAATTTGATGTTTAAATATCTAGAATTTCAATGTAGTATGTTCTTGTTTGTTATGGTATCCTTTTTCCTCTTAAGCTTGCTAAGATTATCCTTGTTCTGCCTTTGTTTTTCTTTTAATAAGCGAATGAGAGAGTATTCTCGCTAATAGAACAAACTTACAAATGCTTAATTCAGTACCTTTTACAGCAACTCATGGGGAGTAAGGGAAATAACCAACTACAAACTGTAAAGAAATAGAGTGATCACATAAGGAAAGACCTAGATAGAAGAGTCCGTCGACTCTTTTTAGTTATAGAAGGTTTAAATAAGTATCTGTAGACGTAAAGTAATGCGTTTTAATTTAAGGTGTTCTTTGTTTTTTTTATTGAAGATCTACTCCAATGCCTACCGGAGACAGACTCCTATCTATGCTAACTATCTTTGTTTGATTTTATTTATTATGTTTGCAAATTGCATGTATGGCAAAAACCCTAGTTGAAAATGTTTACTTCTTATGCTAATATAATAATTAAGACTTTTTCATATAAATGTGCTGAAAATGTTGTTCTTTTTTTTTCTTTCTATAGTTGAGATAGTCGCACGTAATGACAGACATATTATTAAAGCACTCTACCATTGTTTCCTTATCCTTGCAATATTTGATTGATCACAATTCTATATATTCCATTGACTATAGAAGTTCCCAAGGAATTCTTTAGAGGAATGTTTCCAATAAAAATTGTTTGTTCTTACATAGGGATCAAAACTGAGAAGAATGAGGAAAAGCTATAAATACACTTGATGCGCAAATCCTGTATAGGAATGGCAACGGGGCGGGGCGGGGTGGGTGCGGGGAGGGTTCTGTTTTAACCCACAAAATTTTAACCCGCCCCGCCGCACCCCGCATAGCATGTTCACCCGCATCCACCCGCCCCACACCTACACCCGCATCCACCAACCCCGCCCGCCCCACTCCACTAAAGTTTTTTCTTTTTTAAACTTTGAATTTTCTGCTCACTATTTAAGTTAGTTAATTATATTTACTTTCATTAAACTAATTCATTTTCCTTCTTATTTGGGATTATATCAAATGGATGTGTTTTAGGATTTCAAATCTGGCTTCATTTAAGACTAGAGGCATCTCAGTTGCTTTAATCGTGTCTTTAAGAATATGCTTTTGAGCTATTAGGACTTTAACCAAAAAAGGAAAAAAGAAAGAAAGAAAATAATTGATGTTGATGAATTACAAAGACAACAAATTAAAAATAACTTTTTTAGAAGAACTGTTGGTGTTTCCTTGTTCCATTGTCAAAGCATACTTGCCATTTTTATCGTCTGCTTTCTAGGGGTGGGGTGTGTTTGAGGGGAGGGGGCTGAATTTTAAAATAACCAGCAATAGGATTTTTCACCAATACAATAATAGAATTTGCGCACCAGCCCCGCCCCCGCAATTTTTTCTTTTTAAAAAATCAACCCGCCCCGCCCCGCATATGTTTAAACCCGCATCCGTACCGCCCCATTGCCATCCCTAATCCTGTAGTCACCCCGACGATTAGATTTGACTATAAAAGAGGTAATTCATCCATTTGAAGATATTAACAACAAAAAACCCCTTTCAGTTATTTGACATACTTAACATAAGATAACAAATTAAGGAATAGGGAACAAAGGATGTCCATATACCTTTGAATTAGTTACTTTATAATAGGGAAAACTATCACTTCATTGGTTATTTTACACTTGAGAATATCAAAAAGCACTTGCTCAAAGTGGAGAAGAAAAATGTTTAACCATTGTATTATATCGCTTCTTCGCATCTGGCAGCTCTAAGCTAAAGATAAGATAAACCAGACCCAGAAAATAAAAAAGAAGAAAGTTTGCAATTCAGTAATCAGTATCAAAATCTTCACTATTATAGTATCCAGTTTCATATCCATAGCATGAATCATCATTATTGTCTCTATATGAGTCATCATCTTCACCATACGCATTCTCCTGTTCAAGATCATGGAACCCAATATTCAGGTTATCAGCTGAATCACCATTAGCGCAAGCCTTAGGTTCCAATCGTCCTAGCTCTGCCTCTTCAGAAACTTGATTCTGCAGCACCATTCAACAACCATGTAAGTGCATAAGAACTTGTTAAGTCCACTTCTGCCACGGTCAGAAGGAGTTGGTGTCCAGCATACATGTTCCTCACTAGTATGTATTCATGGTTCTTGATAAGAAGCAACTTGAAATGTAGCCGGAAATAGTTAAGAGTATATTATGCGCTGAAAGAGGTTTTCATCTTTTTTAATCTAGGTGGAGGGTAGAGGTACGCAAAACAGAGTTACCAAGTAAGCTTCCCACTTTGCATAGCCCCCCCCNNCACTAGCCCCCCCCCCCTACCCCTCCCCCCCTCCCCTCCCTCTTTCTCTTTTCTTTTTCAGAAAAATCATAATTTCCATCTTTCAGATCCTATGACATGATAATATGTGGATTAAGCACATCACTGGATGTTCTAACTAAAGCTCAAGAAGAGAGCACTAGAAAGGCATAGCAATTATTGCAAAAAGGTAAAAAGAAAGAGATACCAAATCGTCAGTCAGCTTCTGCAAAGCATCATAATTTATTTTCGAACTTGTTCTCTGCAAATATTTGAATCGTATTTAGGTAAAATTAGCACATTATACCATCTAAAATACGTAACATGAGCAAAAAGGATGTTTAGCTGAAAAAATGCGCACCTTGTTCTCAACTCTTTCTGTTGTTTTAGCAGATCTCTTTGCACGGACATCTTTTTTACCTCCAGTTTCCTGTTTTCGTTTCTTCCCCTGTAATTTATCATCACTCTGAGAAAGAAAAAGGTTGAGTAATTTGTGGTACAACGTCACGTAGATGGGTGGTTAGTAGATCAAGAGAAGAGTTGTACATTTAAGAAGTAAGACAGACTAAATTACTTCTCTTTATCTAATGAAAGATGGAAAGGAGAGAGTAAAGTCATTGATCAAGAAATGTGCATCACATGACAGATCTCGTTGACTGTCATTCCTTTTCCTTTTTCTTTCATTTACACTGGAAAAATTGAGTTCATTAGATACTTATTCCTATCTCATGAGTCTCTATTTCTCTAACGAATGGAGAGGGTAGGATGACATCACTGCATAAGAATAAACTGTCAGCAACCTAAGTTAGGCTAAGCACCTTTGAGCCTATCTCTCACTGGGACAGGGAGGTTCTTGGTCCTTTCCCCAATTTATAACATTAGCACATTAATAGACTTATATGAAGATCTAGCCATACGCATATATTATTATGTACAGCTAGCTAATATCGGTTTTAGAGGCATTTCACTTCAAAAACTTCCAGTCTTCAGTGTGACATAATCACATAAGTCCTTTGACAGTAAGAGAGGAATCTAATTTATGAACGAGTCTAATCAAACACCCAAAAGGTGGAAGACAAGGGGGGAGACAGGAAGGTGGAAGACAACCAGAAAGGAGAAAAATAACGAGGATAATGCATATGTATGAAATGATAAGTCAGGACACCACAACAAGAAATAAACAGAAACTCTATTGTTTTATCTTATATATAGCACTTGAACGAGCAGAAAGGCATTAGTTTTTACAAAAAGTGGCGATTACTTCAACCAAAATTCTCTAGAGCTAAACTACCATGTAGCAGAGTAGATGGAAGAAAGGCAATACCTTCGAAAACTCTTGATTCATTTTTTCCCATAAGATTTTCTTGTAATGCATCTCCTTCTTGTTATTGAGATATCCAACAACCTTTGCCACATCCAAAAGTTAAAAAATGTGATTACAAGATGTCCATAAGCACAGAACTAACACAGACATTGACTTGAACTGCCATTAGACATTGGAAGTACCTCGAAGTCATCAATGTCGGATAGATTTTCTGCATCATCTGCAGCTATATGTTCTCTCTTATCAAAATCCTGAAATTTAGTCCTACCACCTGACTCACCAAGAAATAGTTTGAAATGGAATTTAACTCATCCATCAATGTATAAACGATGTCAAATATTTAACAATACAACAAGGGTACTACCGCCGAAGTTTTTCACAAGTTCTGCAACCAAATTATGTTTGACTTCGGATGCTTCCACCGCCTAAAGACCAAAAAGCAAAAATGTCATTTTTCCGATGAAAGAGTTGTGGAACACATTCTAACATTACATTTCAATATAACAGACCAGAAAATAAGAAAGACATTCTGATTGAGGACCATTTTAATAATTTAGCAGTTAGATATAAGAATGAGTACCAAATACATTTCCTTGCTTTATAAGGACCTCGATGCCATTTGGATCAGATATGCAAGTCTCCGAACACAACTAGAACCTACCGACCAATCCAAAGTATCAACCTTATTCCCTGGTTTCTGCCTATGAACTACCAGAAAGAGTATGCTACAAAGAATTTGGAGTCCAGTACAGTCCAAGAGGTACATACCAACCAATCTCAGACTCACAAAAACATATGGTATATAGGAACACCTCACTGGATTACTGCAGAACCCCTTTGTGAGAAGTTCCCATAGACTATTAGCCAAAGCTAGAAGATCATGGCTCAGGGGGCAGTATCCAAAATTGGGCCACATGCTATGCATAGATAATAAGACAAGGACACTAATAATGTATCTTAATATTTCTGAACATGCAATTGATGCTCAGCATATCCTAAAGCAGAACTTACGCAAATGAATTGCATTTTCCAGATTAAGGAAGGATTCAGCAGAATATAAAACAAACTATCCCTTGAAAAGCAATACAAATTTCTGCTGGATAATACGGGGAGCGTGACATTGATTTCAAATGGACATCATGAATTTCAACAGCTAGATTTTCGATTTACAGAAAAGCTTGTGGAATTGTGCACTCTCTTTCTAATGAAAGAACAGAGGCACGAAACATCCTTATTATAGAGACTCTTTTTGTTTCCAATTTCAATGATCGTCATTGTAAATTCTCAGACTTTTTTTTTTCAATTTCAGTGATGTCAAGAGGTCTTTGGAGCAACGGTAAGGGGTTGTCTCCATGTAACCTATAGGTCACGGGTAAGAGCCGTGGAATCAGGCATTGATGTTTGTGTTAGGGTGGGCTGCCTACATCAAACCCTCTTGGGGGTGGCCCTTCCCAAAACCTTGCATGAAGGTCGGGATGCTTCGTGCACCAGACTGCCCTTTATAACAATGATTTCTAGTATTATATAATCATTCTAGTTAACCCCCCCCCCCCCCCCCTCCTCCCCCAACAATTTCGATGATGTCATTGCAAATTCTAAAAACTAAATTACAGGACGGCATGGAGTACGACTCCAAAGGCTATTCCATCTTTAACCCTGTAACATTTTTTTTCTCCTTCTGTCTAAGTGGTAGGATTATTCCTAATATTAAAACGAACAAACCACCGCTCTCTAGCATGGGGAGAATAGCATAAAAGGTTTGACACAAACTCAAGGGGATTAAAACTGAAATTTCTTGGCCTCCACCAGTTAACCATTACGCCACTGCTTCACCGCAAATGTTATAACACTAACAGAAAAAATACTTCTACCGTAACTTTGAACTCAACGATATTATTAGAAAATATAAACAAAAGAAACGGACTACATATATGAGAAAAATAATAATGCAATAATCTGTACATACAAAAAGAAACAAATAAAACTTTCGATGAAGGCATACCCTTTGTTCTTTAGGTTTGCCAATGTCGGCGGGTCTCCGTGTGATGGCCATTGCCTTTTCAAGGCTTTCTCTAATTTGAATCAGTGGGAGATTTATAGAAAAAGGTATGAAGCGTTTGCCGACTCGACTCGATTCGGGGTTTTACGTCTCATCTTACCCGAGCCCGAGCCCGAAATCGAACCGACCTGTTTATTCTTTTCAAATCAAGATCCCTATTTATTTTTTTTTTTATTTTTTTTTTGGTTTCCCACTCGGTGTCTGGTACCCGCATTGGAGCGCGACTATATCCGAATTCGCGCCGCGTAGGACCCCATTTTGGAGAAGCGCTCCCTACCAAGCATTTTTCCATACCCAGGGCTCGAACCCGAGACCTCTGGTTAAGGAAGGAGCAGTCACATCCACTGCACCACATCCTTTAGTGGTCCCTATTTAGTTAAACTGCGAAAATGCAAGTGGATTTTCGCATATGATTTTGGACATATCCCTTGAATTTTTAATTATGTCTCATTGTTTACCGTGAAAATGGTAATAACAATTAAATTTGTTGATGGGACTCTAAAAATACGTGATCTATTTTTATGCTAGTTGTGAAGCAGTTGATGCTCTGTGTGTGAAGTTTAAGAATGAGATGCGAGCTAAAATAGAGTTATATTCGGACCGGTGGGTTAGCCGTTCAGGGCCTCGAGCTAGTCGATTTGGGGCCTCAAGGTCGATTCCCGAGCTCGGGCTCGAGCTATTAGGGGCAGTTGGGGAAGGGCTAACAGACACAACAATATTAAAGGAGGCTCTTTATGGCCAATGATAAGCAATAAATGAAGAACAAGTATGAAGATAGCAAGTAAGAGCAACAATATCGAGAAAGTATGTTAGAGAGAAAAGAGAGAGAGAGAGTTATTATTTATCTTGCGTAGAATAGTTGGAGCAACATCAGTCCTCTAAAAAATAGTAAAATTCCCCTTTATATAGAGGAGGGAACCTTATATGGTACGACATACATGAATTGTAAAGATATGGAGATGGGACAGCTAGATGCGACACCTTGATCTGGGTTCACGGTAGGCCGGTTAGGCCTTGTCAAACTTGGCCGCGTGTCTTGGGAACTCCCACTTTTACTCTAGCCTCGACCGATATTCTCTTCAGGCCGGGTGTCGATGAGCTCCGAGGAATAAGACTCGAGCGCATCTTTGCAGCCTCGAGGCTTCGAGGTGATCTTCCGGAACGCCTTAATGACGGGAAATCGGACCCTCCGATTTTGCCGTATACAGATAGTCTCCGTGTTTCCTAGAACAAAATGATAGAAAACGATTTTGATGCCCAACTCTTCGGGTTCCCTGCGACGATGTCATACCGGTGATGCAACCTATGACGTGAGCCTTCACGGTAACCGGGATATCCCATGGACTTGTCTTTTCGGTACCATTCAATGCACTGTCGATTCTCGTTCTTCAAAAGTGACAGTACCGCCGTCGATTCAGTTTTCAAGAACGCATTGATTGCGCCTGCCGATCCATCTTTCAAAGGCATCGATGGCCGTGTGATCTCCCCCTATAAATGGGGGCATTCTGGCACTAGTTCTTCATCTAAATACCCTTCTCTGTTCGTTCATCACTTTCTTCTCACCATCTTCCTTTATTGTTAACCACCATGTTAGGGTTCACGGCCTTAAGGTTGTATGGCAGCATTCTTATCAGCTGTGTGGTGGCCTCCTGCCTGAGCTTCCCTTCGTCGAGCGGGATCACACCATTTTTGTCGTTGCTGTTGTTATTGTTATGACTGCTACTACTATCGTTATTGGCTCGAGGCGATGAGACAGTGGTGGCCGGCTTCTTCCGTTTGGAAAGGCATTCGGACTCTATATCGCTGCTCGGGAGAGCGTTCGGATTATACACTGCTGACTCTCCTACCCTGGCCTAGTGTGGCACTTCATTCCTTGGGTTTTTTCCCAAGGGATAAAATGGCACTATCGGCCGTCGAGACTGGGGTCCGCCGGATCTTCAACCTTTGGCTTCGGCGGGCTATGTCTCTTTTTTCTGCCTCTTCTGCGTCCTCCCTCTTTCCTCTTCTTCATCTTCTCCCTTGGAGATATTATTCCGAGGTATTGAGCTGGGAACCTAGAGGAGGTGGCGGTCGAAGGTATCACCTTCAAGGACGCAAGCTCGAGGAGGCGGCGCTTCAGGGATGTTGCTACCGAAGATGGACCTTCGAGGGTAGACTAGGTTTTAGGTTTTTACTTCATGTATTCCCTTTTTGCTTCTTTGCTTCTGTGTAGGGACCCTTTGTAAGCCTTTGTAATCATATGTAAGGACCCCTCGAGGGCCGTTGTAAGCAAATTTTTATAAATATAAAGATATTTCTTTTACTTCGGCCTTTGATGCTTGCCATATTCTTTTATGTTTGTGGGGATTCTGCATGTATGCCTCTGCTGATGATTGCCAATATCTAACTCGGGTGCGAGTATTCTTCTCGGTCTTTGGTTGATATAAACGGCTACTCTCTGAGCCCGCCGTCGTTCCTCGGACCAAGCCCGAATTGGTCCGATTGACTTGGGCCATCGGGACTGTCGAGTCACGTAAAATAGTGCCTCGAACCTTGGAATTTTTGGAGAGCGGTTTTTGAGTGGGGGTTATCTTTATGCATCTGAAGACTTGCTTTGAGTTTGGCGTAGATAACCTTTTAAGACATTGTAGATAGGTCCCAGATGAGGGGTTACCCAGATTTAGGCGGTGTCCTGAGGTCGGGCCTTTATGGGTGGAGCTCGAAATGCTCGTTCTTCATCTTGAGGGGAATCTTTGAGATCGGATACCATCTTGAGCTCTATAATGGTGCTGAAGGCTTCCTGGAGCCTAACTTCTTGTTGATGGAGGTCCTCGAGGTCGGTTACCACCTCGGGACTAGAGATGATGCCATTGTCTTCTTTAAGCCTAACTTCTTTTCGATGGAGGTCCTCGAGGTCGGGGACCACCTCGGGACTGGAGATAGCGCCGTTGGCTTCTTAAAGCCTAACTTCTTTTCGATGGAGGTCCTCGAGGTCGGTTACCACCTCGGGACTGGAGATAGCGCCGTTGGCTTCTTAAAGCCTAACTTTTGTTCGATGGTAGTCCTCGAGGTCGGGTACCACCTCGGGACTCCCATCGAAGTCATTGGCCTCCCGGGGCCTATCTTGGGCAGGCGGACCATTGGTGTTTCCAAATATATATGGGGTTGCTTCCGCTTCTTGGGAGATCCCACTTTTTTAGATAGCTATCCTTTCATTTCGGCGTCGAGCCCTTCTTTACCTTAGCACCAGAGTGTCTGAGTCGGTTACCGCTTTAGCTCTCTAGTTTGGTCATAACCATGACTGCAACTTCGGGGTTTGCCTGGCAGAGAACGGAGAGTTCCGCTCCCAGTGCTCAGGACCCGCAGGAGTTTACTTGAAGACTATGTCTTTGATAAGAGAGGAGCACCTTGAGTTGGTGAGGAGAGACTGCGGATGGGGAGAGGAGGCAGCGTTACAGGTGCTTCCCCCGGGCGAGGATATCATGGACCCTGCCGATGGATTCCTGAATGTATATACGTATCCTTTCATACTGGGGCCTTTCGACAGGGTCGTGCTTGACTTCTGTGTAAAGTATCGGGTTACCTTGGCGCAGATTCACCTATCTTTTTGGCGAATAGTGTTGATGATGAGGTTTTTTGCTAAGAAGGCGGGCTTGAATTCACGCTCAACCATCTCATTAGGCTGTACCGGCCCTTTCACCACCGAGGTCTGCTAACCTTGCGGTGCCGTTCGTCCACGCCTTTTGTTGTTGATGATGGGGAAGACGGAGATCGGGAGTGGGTTAGTCGGCTCATCCAGGTCTGGACGGCTGACGTTATCCCCGTGGAACTTATGCCATTCCCTGAAGAATGGAACTATATGCGTGAGTGGAGCGTTCTGTACTTTCTCAGATTTGCTCATGGCAGAAGCTAGTATAGTAATCGTGTTTCCTTCTTTCTGCAGCAATTTCATGGGCGCCGGGCGAAGTTCGTGATCTGCTTGGTTGGGTCCGGAAGTTGGCGACCCACTCGACTTGCGACGAGCGTAGGTGGCGAGCTGTGTCCCGGGGCAGATAGGAAGCAAAACATCACGGTGCGTGTGTATACTACTTTTTTTCCTTGTCCCTTGTTCTTTTGTAGAGACATTTTTCCCTTTTCATGTATTAATCTTGCTGTTGTAGGTATCGGAGAGCCTCCAAAGGCGAGGCTGTGCTCCTCCGGAGAGGAGGAGCGGTTGCCAGCTTCTGAGCCAGAGCGCGACAATAATAAGCTGGAAATGTACTTGCAGGGCGATGACGCTCATGGCAAGGCGAAACAGGGCCGGGCCTCTAAGACAGAAATACCGCCCGTGCCTGCTGCACCCGAGGTTTCTGGTTCTGGAAAGATGGCTCCTCCGAGCGATCGTGCTTCGACCGGGGTTGATTCTTCCGGGGCTGAGTGGACTAGATCAACAGATGTGTGCTCGGCCTTCGAGGAAGTCCGCCGACTTCACTTTGCGGTGAGCTTCGACATAGGCCTTCCGAATCCCACATCCTCCTTTTCTTATTGAGTTTTTCATTTGCAGGCCTTTGATAGGCTTAGGTATGAGCTGCTCCGTCATGGAGCTAGGCTCCAGAAAACTCTAGATGAGAGTAGATCCTTTAGGCTCCTTTGCGAGGAGAAGGAAGTCGAGTTGGCACACTGGAGATGTAAGGCGTACTATAGCTCGAATTACGAGAGCTATTTGATGGAGCAGGTAACTTCCCATCCTGGTTGAGTACACGTTTCCCTTTTTAACTTCTAAGGTTAACTCTTCGCCTATCCCAGCTGCAAAAAAAGACGGAGGCCCTAGAGCGTCTTAGGGGTGAAGCTGAATGAATCAGGAATGACTGTGGCGAGCTAAGAGCTCGGGCGCAGGTCCAAATTCAGAGGAGAAAGGTGCCTTGGCTAAAGTTCCTGCCTTCGAGGTCAACTCCGCTTAGCTCATGACAATGCTTCGGTTCAAGCGGATATGATCACGAAGCTTGAATCCGAACTATCGAAGGTTAGGGCTGAGATCGTTGATGCTCGGACCCAAGCGGCACTGAACCGTACTAAGGCTGATCAGGAGATGGTGATTCATTTGAAGGACGCTACCGATGCCCAAGCTGAGTTGAAGAGGGTCCTTAATCGCGGAGAG